TCATACACATGACCATTTGGAACTTTTTTTGTGATTAAGTTAATAATCTTTAGAAAATTCTATTCTTTCACCTATAAAAACTAAAAGGATTGGTCAATGAATGAATGGATCTACAGGCACAGTGGAATACTACTCAGCTATTAAAAAAGAATAAAATCTTGCTATTTGTGATAAGATGGATGGACCTTGAGGGTATTACGCTAAGTGAAATAAGGCAAAAGGGAAAAGGCAAATACCTCACTCATATGAAAAAAACTCACATATAAAAAAATAAAACAAAAACAAACCTATAAAGACAGAAAATAGACCAGTGGTTATCAGAGGACAAGGGGGCATGGAGTGAACAAAGGGGTGAAGGGGTGATGGATAGTAACTAGACTTCAGGAGTAATCACTTTGTAGTGTATACAGATGTTAAATTATGTTACACACACAATTAGGTATAGTACAAAATACTTGATAATGGTAATAACAAACTATGTCATTGGTTTATGTATTTAGTACACTAGAGTTTATATTGTTATTTTCGAGTCTACACTTTCTTATAAAAAATGTTTGCTGTGCCCTAACTGGTCGACATGCAGACTGAAAGGTCCCGGGTTCGATTCCGGCCAAGGGCATGTACCTTGGTTGTAGGCACATCCCCAGTAGGGAGTGTGCAGGAGGCAGCTGATCGTGTTTCTCTCTCAATGATGTTTCTCTCTCTCCCTTCCTCTCTGTAAAAAAAAAAAAAAAATCAATAAAGTATATATATTTTTTAAAGTGTTTGCTATAAAACACAATGTTGTGTTATGTCAACAGCAGCCTCATACATTTTGTGTTTACTGGGTTTCTTGATTGCATCATTTTTTCTTGTCCTTGATGTAATCTCGTGTTGTTTCATAGTTACAGGCTGTGCAGGCCTGTAGCTAGAGCAATAGGCTGTGCCACAGGTGTGTAGTCGGCTGTACCATCTATGTGTGTGCACGTGCACTCCATGGTATTCGCGCAACAAACAAATTGCCTGACGACGAATGTCTCAGAACGTACAGAATGCATCCCCGTCATTGAGCAGGGCCTGACCATAGTAACAGTATCTGTGGCTGCATCACAGCGTAAACTTGGGTTCTTATCTCCCTCCTTCCCCTCTAGCCTCTCTACATCATGAATCGTTTTTTGAAAGCTGATGACATTTATATCCCTGCTTTTAAGGCTTCTCTAATGCATCCTGGGATTGACTCAGAAAACTGAAAATCAATAAACAGAGTGACCGCGTAAGTCTCCTTTACTGTCAAGTCCCGCTACGCCCTGGTGACAGCTGTTTTCATAGCAGATGGTGTCTTCCTGGAGCTTTTACCTGCCTTTTTCTTAAACTGTTTGTCTTTATTGTTGCCCCATTTGTTTGCAAACTACTCACTGTATTAGATTTTAAATATTTTTATTTTTTTAATACATTTTATTGATTTTTTACAGAGAGGAAGAGAGAGGAATAGAGAGTTGGAAACATCGATGAAGGAGAAACATCAATCAACTGCCTCTTGCACAGCCCTTACTGGGGATGTGCCCGCAACCAACATACATGCCCTTGACCGGAATCGAACCTGGGACCTTTCAGTCCCCAGGCCAACGCTCTATCCACTGAGCCAAACAGGTTTCAGCAGATTTTAAATATTTTTAAAGAAAGTAAGCCTAATTATGCAGGTTTGTTTAGTTTGTGAAACTTCAGCAAGCTATACATCTATATGCACACTTCTCTGTGTTTAAGTTATACTCCAATTTTTTAATATATTTTTATTGATTTCAGAGAGGAAGGGATAGGGAAAGAGAAACATCAATGATGAGAGAGAATTATTGATCAGCTGCCTCCTGCACGCCCCTCACTGGGGATGGAGCCCACAACCCAGGCATGTGCCCTGACCAGGAATCAAACCCGGCACCTCCTGGTTCATAGGTCGATGCTCAACCACTGAGCCAAGCCGGCCAAGCTCTACTGCAATTTTTAAAAATTATAAAGAATTACATCTTTCCTCATAAATTGTAAAGTAAGAAATATCAAGGGAGAAATAACTTTGTAGAGCATACTTATGCATTTATATTGTTTATAGCCATACTATTAAGTAGTACACTATCCTATATAATAAAAGCCTAATATGCAAATTGTCCCCTCGGGCAGTCCTTCCACCAGTTCAACTGCTCGCTATGATGTGTGCTGACCACCAGGGGGCAGTGTGGAACATGGCGGGCTTCTGCAACACAGCACTGGCATCGGGCGTTCAGGTGCTGGGCACCCACAAGGAGCCCACCCCACACCCGCATGGCCTCTTCTGGGTGAGCCGGGCGATAGCCACTGGGACCACAGGGGCCAGTCGGACTCTGCATGAGTCCGCTCAGGAGTTGGTCTGTGAGGCCAGCTGGGAGAGAGTGCACTGCCCACCAAGCTTCCATACGGCACTGCTGGGCTGCCCAGAGGCCCAGGCTGTGCCCCGGCCCACAGCATCTGGTCGTGCTCACTGCATCTCTGCATGGGGACCCAGACACCATGACTCAGGTGGAGGGGGTGGAGGGGGTGTACAGGGGCCCAGGGGCCCAGGTGCTGCCCAGGGCCCAGAGGTCAGCTGGGACATGCCCTTCCACACCAGACACTCATGCTTCAATCACAGGCCAGGCCTAGGGACAGCATCTGTGCACAAATTTCGTGCACCAGGCCTCTAGTAGTTACATATATGATAGTATAGCACATTATGTTACATTTATCACCTCTACTATTAACAAAATTGATCTTGTTGATTGCATATCTACCTGCTAACAATGACAATAATAGCTAATATATGTTTATTAAGCACTTCCTAAATGCCAGACATTGCCAAATGCTTTATATTATCCCATTTAGTCCTCACAACAACCCGTTATTATTACAATATTACATTATCATATTGTTATAGATGACTACACTGAATTTTTTAGAAGTAATTTGCCAAATGTCACACAGGCACCTTAATAATGGCTAATAATTTTTGAGCACATACTATTAGTATAGATCAACAGTATTCTAAGCACTAAGTATACTGACTTATTTAATCCTCAAAACAATGAGTTAAGTAGTGTCATTATCCTCATTTAGCAGATAAGTTAATTGAGGCACAGAGAAGATAAGCAAACTTGTCAAAGGTCACCCTGCTGGTAAGTGACCTAACTGGTATATGAAAGCAAGAAGTATGGCTCCTGACTCTAACTATTGAACTATATACCAGTCAGGGGTCACTACAGAAATTTGAACTTGAGCAGTCTGGCTCTAGGAACTATGCTATTCATTATTCTATTCTCCTGCCTGTCAATCAGATCAACTGACATTTAGATAAGGGTGCCTGAACATCATTCTCAACCTGCACACTGATAGGAAGGGAAACATGAACAACTGGCAAGTTCAAATACAGGGTGGAGCATAAGTAGCTTTACAGTTGTTTGCAAGGAAAATAATATAAAAACAAATAATACAAGAATAAACTGTATTTCATATACTCACAACTGTATATCTATTTTTGCCCCACCTTGTATTATATTCTTTTTTATTTTAAATTTTATTTATTTTAGCTAATTAAAATTTAAAATACTCAATTCAGCTGATAACGGTTTGGCTCAGTGGATAGAGTGTCGGTCTGCAGACTGAAAGGTCCTGGGTTCGATTCCGGTCAAGGGCATGTACATTGGTTGCGGGCACATCTCCAGTAGGGGGTGTGCAAGAGGCAGCTGGTCGATGTTTCTCTCTCATAAATTTTTCTAACTCTCTATCCCTCTCCCTTCCTCTCTATAAAAAAATCAATAAAATATATTTAAAAACAAGAAATGACCCCCTTTTTTAAAAAAATAAATAAAAATAAAAAATAAAACACTCAATTCAGTTATTGGAAAACTTCTGAAGTATGTTTGGAAGAACTTGTAACTATTAATCTATTTTCAATTAAATTTTCTGAACTCTAAATACAAATCATTTTTTTTTTGTAGAAAATATCTTTATTCTTTTTTTCTTTACTGAATTGTCCGTATATGGTATCATTTTTTATTTAAATTCTTTATTGTTTTAAGTATTACATACGTCTCCTTTTTCCCCCATTGACCTCTCCCCAGCCACTTCCACCCCAAGCACACGCCCTCACCCCCAATGTCTGTGTCCATTAGTTATGCTTACATGCATGCATACAAGTCCTTTGGTTGATCTCTTACTCCACTCCCACCCCCAATGTTCTTTCTTTAAACAGCTAATACTCACCTCCAAATCACCTCTACCATTAAACTTCCATAAGTCTCTCTCTACTCCCAATGCATTTTACAAACACTTCTCACATAACACTCACTAGAATGCATTTTCTTTTTCTTTTTTTTAAATATATTTTATTGATTTTTTACAGAGAGGAAGGGAAAGGGATAGAGAGTTAGAAACATCGATGAGAGAGAATCATCAATCAGCTGCCTCTTGCTCACCCCCTACTGGGGATGTGCCCACAACCAAGGTACATGCCCTTGACCGGAATCGAACCTAGGACCCTTCAGTCCGCAGGCCGATGCTCTATCCACTGAACTAAACCAGTTTCGGCTAGAACACATTCTGTTGTGTGAAAACAGGGAGGTCTGCAGGCTCTTCAAGGCCAGAGACTGCCCATCCCAGGCGTGGCACACAGGAGGCCCTAACACTGACTTTATATGCAACTGATGTCTCCGCATGCAGGTTGCGGCACACCCACCCCAGGAGTACTCACCTGTTTAATGCCAACCTTGCCCACTGACATGGGACCACAAGGGCAGGAACTAGCTATTCCTAGCCCATGCCTGGCACACGGGATATCCTCTTTATAAACTTGTTGAATGAATAGAGATCAGATGATTTAAAACCCAGAAGAACATCTATATTATAAAAGGTCTATGGTCCTACGCCTTAACAACCAAAGCCCAGCGCAGGTGGGCGGGGCTGCACAATTTTGTGTGCTGGGCTTCTAGTAAACTTACAAAGAAATGCCCCATGCTTACCTCAATAACGCAGATTTGAGGCTCCTCCTTGTGACCATCCACTGGCACCATGGCTTGAGTCATAACCCACTCCTGGACAGCATCAGTAATGTGAGGGACAACTGCAGAAAGAATTAGTACAAAAGCTTATTTCATGGTCAGGAAAAGGCAATGTATCTGATCTTTAGATCTCGCAAATAACCGACAGCTACCTGGCAAATCAGACAAGCTGCGGTCCTAATGCTATCATCTTCCTTCACTGAAATTAATACTCCAGGGGCAGTTTAGGTTCACGCATTTAAATGTTATGCCTTTTCTCTTGAAACCGACCAACCCCAGAGAATGAGAAACAGAAAGCAGAAATGCCATCTTCGATGCAAGTAGAGAACTCCTATAATGCCAAAGAGGGCTGCCCAGGATGCTGAATGCTAGGCTCCACAGGCAAGAAGGATGGAGAGTGGCCAGACCACCAGCCAATGGGGAGGGGACACTGAAGAGATTATAGATGCCTGCTGACCAGGTGCCAGTGAATGCTAACGTCAGCTGAAGAAGAAAAAGGTGGCATTTCCACAAGCATGTGAGGCCAAGGAGTCCCTTGGGTGGTGAGCAGGCCTGAAGTTGGCAATCTCAACTGAAGAGAAATCCACATGGGTGTGTGGGGATTCAGCCCAGCCACCTAACCTAATGTGATGGCAGGAAGTAGGAACGGTGGCATTCAGGAAGCTGAGGCAAAGTTGCATCCGTCACCTGCTCCACCTTACACCCGAAGAGTCTGCGGGCAAGAGGAAGCTGGCTTTGACTGGTGCGTTTGGAAGAACCAGATGGCATGCCTGGCCCACCCCTTTCTGGAAGGATGAGGTTGGCCGGGTTCTGCCTCCATGCCAGCAGCATAGGGATCAGGGTTCAGGATCCAGGGCTGGGCCTTGCCCTCTCCTCCATCACTGGGACATGGCAGATATGAGGCAGTGACTCTCCCTCCCTCGGGTTTTCCCAACACCTACACTCAGGAAAAACTATTTGAAAACACAGTTGAGCCGAAACCGGTTTGGCTCAATGGATAGTGTTGGTCTGCGGACTGAAAGGTCCCAGGTTCAATTCCAGTCAAGGGCATGTACATTGGTTGCGGGCACATCCCCAGTAGGGGGTGTGCAGGAGGCAGCTGGTCAATGTTTCTCTCACATCGATGTTTCTAGCTCTCTATCCCTCTCCCTTCTTCTCTGTGAAAAATCAATAACATATATTTAAAAAAAAAAAAAAGAAAGAAAGAAAGAAAGAAAGAAAGAAAGAAAGAAAGAAAGAAAGAAAGAAAGAAAACAGTTGAACTGGAGATCTGTGTCACAACGTCTAATTTTGGCAATAATATAGTTGCTCTTCTGATCTCCATCTGTCCTATTCCTACATCTGTTTCTCAATGGGTGAAAGAAAGAAAGAAAGAAAGAAAGAAAGAAAGAAAGAAAGAAAGAAAGAAAGAAAGAAAGAAAGAAAGAAAACAGTTGAACTGGAGATCTGTGTCACAACGTCTAATTTTGGCAATAATATAGTTGCTCTTCTGATCTCCATCTGTCCTATTCCTACATCTGTTTCTCAATGGGTTCCAATATGAAAGTGATTTAAGGGGATGGGGAATTATCACCTTTACCCTCTCATGTAGGAACATATGAATACAAAACTTCAGAGTTCCAGGAGGGGATCTCTTCTAAGACAAAAGAGAACCATACCATCTAGGGAAAGGGCTGGTGAAAAAAGGTCAGACTATGCTACTTGCTATTCCAGTTCAATCCACCAGTCCCTCTCTGCAGGAAACCCATCAGTGTCACTAAAAGGGAAATGTGAAAAGGGAATCCGGAAGGCTGATCAACCTTAATTGCTCTGAATGGTTGGAGCTAATCACTCATTGTTTAGTTGAGACCTTGGTAGTTAAAGCAGCCTCCACCGTTAGTCTTATGTAAATTACTGCCATTGTCTATTATTGGAATTTCCTGCCTAAAGGATATGGGTGTATCTCATAACCTTAATAAAAGAGATAGCAAGGCCAGAGCGGTGGTAGTCCTCCGCCTAGAGGTGGGCTCCCGCCTGGCCCCCCATTTTCCCGAATTAATACTTTTCTAGACTCTTTAATTTGTGGGCGGCCTTCTCCAGAACCCGAACCCTGAACCACACCTCTCCAAGGCTGTCCTCCTTCAAGGGGAAACAATCACCATGCATGCAAAGACACAAGAGCAAAGAACACAAACAATAACAGATAGACAAAAAACAAACCAAAAAAATACACCCTAATCATGTAACAAAAAAGATGAATAGATGGTTCGCCATAGATTTTATAAATGAATGAATGAGAGAGACAGAGGGGGGGAGAGACTGACTAAGGGAAACCATGGCATTAGTAAAAAAGAGAAAAGACTGATGAAAATAAATGAGGAACTCGGAGGATGAACTTGACATCTGTAAGGAAAATGAAAAAGAAAAGAACACAGGATTTCAGGAGCATTAGAACTGGCAGAGTGCAGGGACCTGGTGTGTGCCATGCAATACCTTGTACAGTTTTCCCCAGGTAGTCACCACGCCTCTCTTTATTGATCACATGCTGATATATCTTCCCAGTGGTGATGTTGTTGTCTTTATAAAGATTGATATCCAAGAACCTTTCGTAATTTCCAAGGTCTAAGTCAACTTCTCCACCATCGTTTAAGACAAACACTTCTCCTAGAATAAAAAGGCAAAGTAAAATTGTCAAATTTGCTTCCAGTGGATTGTTTTTCAAAGATGAGCACATTTTATTAAAATACTGCTAAGAGACTTATTTATAAACTACATGCTATCACCATTTCATTTTTTGTATCCTTACTTGAGGATGTTTATTGATTTTTAGAGAGGAAGAGAGGAAGGGGGAGAGAGATGTGAGAGAAACATCAATTGTTTGCCTCCAGGGGGTGGAACCCAAAACCTAGGTAGGTGCCTTCACTGGAAATCTAATCGGCAATCTTTTTATTTTTATTTTAACTAATTAATTTATTTGTTTGTTTATTTATTTATTGGTGTATGGGAAGATGCTCCAACCATTTCATTATTTTGATGAGAAAACTTAACAATTCAATTATAGCCTTTACAATGCATCAAAAAATTCCAGTATCTTATTGTGTTTTTTTTCATACTTAACTAAAATTCTGTCTTCAAGAGTTAGCTTTCCAAAATCATCATGTATCATTTGAAAAGGGGGCTTTAAAACAGCAATTTTAAAAACTAATAGCAATTTACTTCAAAGCATCCAGATCCTGTACTTTGGAATTGGCATAAAAAAGGCTTAATTGATTGCCATCTTGGTGACAGTGACAGGTAAAGAGATGAGAGATGAAAAGCAGGGCCCCAGCGAGCCCACGGGCAACTTGGTGAAAGAAGAGCCAGATTGTGCAATCAGCCACCTACACAGCAGCACCAAGAAAAAGGATATAGATGCAGACTTAATCACATGAAATACCTGCTTTAATCATTTGCCATGTCTCTGGGTCTCCAGTGCCACTTGGGGACATTGATTGGGAGTCCAGTGTCCTAAAGCCACCTGGTAAGACTTGAACTCCCCCTAATTAAGAAAAGTCTATCATTTATGCCTATGGCAGAAAGTTCACAGAAAAAAGAAGGTTGACTAGCTTACAAACCTTATCAGAAACCTTTTATTTTATTTTATTTTATTTTTTCATATATTTTATGGATTCTTTCCAGAGAGGAAAAGAGAGGAATAGAGAGTCAGAAACATCAATGAGAGAGAAACATCGATCAACTGCCTCCTGCACACCCCCAACTGGGGATGTGTCTAAAACCTTGACCGGAATCAAACCTGGGACCTTTCAGTCTGCAGGCCAACGCTCTATCCACTGAGCCAAACCAGCTAGGGCTAACATATCTTTATTGATTTCAGAGAGGAAGGGAGAGGGAAAGAAAGAAACATCAATGATGAGAGAGAATCATTGATTGGCTGCCTGCTGCACATCCCCCAATGGGAATCAAGCCCGTAACTCAGGCATGTGCTTTTGGCCAGAATCGAACCCAGGACCTTTCAGTCTGCAGGCTGATGCTCTATCCACTGTGCCAAACCAGCCAGGGCACTGTGCAACTTTTAAGAGTATAGAATATATTAAAATGTCCACAGTATATTAAGTTTTACAATTAGATTAAAGTCCAGCTGGCATGGCTCAGCAGTTGAGCATTGACCTATGAACCAGGAGGTCACGATTTGATTCCCAGTCAGGGCACACGCCTGGGTTGTGAGCTTGATCCCCAGTGTGGAGCATGCAGGAGGCAGCCGGTCAATGATTCTCTTTTATCTTTGATGTTTCTCTCTCTCTCCTCCTCTCCTTTCCTCTCTGAAATCAATAAAAATAAATATATTTAAAAAGAAAATGAGATTAAAAATAATGTGACTGTGAGATTCAATTCACTTAAAGTTCAAAAACTAGCCTGACCAGTGTGATTCAGTGGTTGAGCATAGACCCATGAATCAGGAGGTAATGGTTTGATTTCCGGTCAGGGCACATGCCCAAGTTTTGGGCTCGATCCCCAGTAGGTGGCTTGCAGGAGGCAGCCAATCAGTGATTCTCATCATTGCTCTTTCTATCTCTCTTTCCCTCTCCCTTCCTCTGAAATAAAAAACAACAGCAAACAAACAACAAGCAACTCTAACCTATGGTGTTAAAAGACAGGATAGTGGTTACCCTGGTGGTTTGGAGGCAAATGGATATTCTGTATATTGATCTAGGGGCTGATCACACAGTATAATCATTTCATCAAATGGTACATTTATGATTTATGCATTTTCCTGCTTGTATGTAAAATTTTTAAAAAGAAAGTATTTAAGGGTTAATGCTTATTTTTAATTGATTTTTCACAGAAAGGAGGGGAGGATAGAGAATTAGAAACATCACAGAGAGAAACATCGATCAGCTGCCCGCAACCAAGGTACATGCCCTTGACCGGAATTGAACCTGCGACCCTTGAATCTGCAGGCCAAACTGGTCAGGACAGGGCTAATGCTTTAAAAAATAATAATTACTATATACATTATAATGTCCACATTGATAATAGTCTCTCCAAGAAGTGGGAAATTTCCTTCATGTCATTCTATATTGTCAATATATACCATATTGTTTAACATTTTTCTTGACGATAAGATGTTAAGAGAAATCTATTACCTTTGTGACTAAACAAAACATAATCCATACTGCAAAAGCTACAATGAAAATGGTGTCCTTGCTGACAGCATTTGGCTCAGTGGATAGAGTGTCGGCCTGTGGACTGAAAGGTCCCAGGTTCGATTCCGGTCCAAGGGCATGTACCTTGGTTGTGGGCACATCCCTAGTAGGGTTGTGCAGGAGGCAGCTGATCAATGTTTCTCTCTCATCAATGTTTCTAACTCTCTGTCCCTCTCTCTTCCTTTCTGTAAAAAAAAAAAAAAAAAAAAAAATCAATAAAATATATTTTTTTAATTGTTTTTTAAAAAAAATAAAAGAAAATGGTGTCCTCACACAGTTTTCCAAAAAGGGTGGACTGATTTCAGAGCCATCAGCAATCTGAACAATGCATCAATGACCATGAGAACATTCACACATTCATAGCATAAAATCCAGCAACTCTACTTCTGGAACTCTATCCTAAAGAAATTAACCAACATATAAGAAGGAACTGCAATTTAACTCAGCACTTTCTAAGGGAGGAAGTGTTTCTCTTTCATACCGTGCTCATAAGGCGAAAAAGTGCCTGCATCAATGTTGATATAGGGGTCGATTTTGATGGCGGTGACTCGGAGTCCCCATGACTTTAGAATCGTCCCAATGCTGCTCGCGATGATCCCTTTCCCAATGCTGGAGATCACCCCACCGGTGACTAGGATGTACTTCATTGGCAGAGGAGTGGCTGGGTGGCAGCACCCAGACAGAATCTGAAAGGCAATGAAATGAAGGATCAGGGGAGAGAAACATTTTCTCAAACCAGTAAAGCAGAGTGTGTGTTAAACCAGAATGTCAAAAGCACACAGCATTTTCCTATCTAAATAGTTGAAACTTTAAAAAAAAAATTTTAGCCGAGACCGGTTTGGCTCAATGGATAGAGCGTCGGCTTGGGGACTGAAAGGCCCCAGGTTCGATTCTGGTCAAGGGCATGTACCTTGGTTGCGGGCATATCCCCAGTAGGGGGTGTGCAAGAGGCAGCTGATTGATGACTCTCTCATCGATGTTTCTAACTCTCTATCTCTCTCCCTTCCTCTCTGTACAAAATCAATAAAATATATATTTTTAAAAAGTCTATGAATTTTCCAGATAAGATATGCTTATGTTATATGAACAGAGTAGGATATAGTATCATCTCACCTATGTTTGTTTTTAATATATTTTATTGAATTTTTACAGAGAGAAAGGGAGAGGGATAGAGAGCCAGAAACATCGATGAGAGAGACCATCGATCAGCTGCCTCATGCATACCCCCCACCGGGGATGTGCCCGCAACCAAGGTACATGCTCTTGACTGGAATCGAACCCGAGACCCTTCAGTCTGCAGACCAATGCTCTATCCACTGAGCTAAACCGGCCTCGGCTGTTTGTTTACTTTTTAATTAAAGACTGGTCAAAAGCGCACTAAAATGCTGAATTTTAATATATTTAGGCGGTTGGGCTGTAGGCTAGTTTTCAATATTTTCAGAAGCACAAGATCCCTTTTCAAAACACATTCGACATTTTACCAAGTCTTTGAAAAGGTCGCTTAATGCCAAAGACATGTCCAGTCCTTTTTACCTCTTTTTAGTAAACAAGCCTGAAGCAAAGTTTTAAAGCGGCAGGAAAAGGCAGGCTCTTGAGGCTACTTCCTTGAAATCCAGATGTTTTCTGTCCTGCGTGAAGACACGTTTTCCTACTCTCTCCCAGGCAGGGAGCGGAACCAATGGTCTGCGAAATGGAATGTGTAGGCTGCCCTGTGTGCTGTCCAATAAAAACACATTTACATGAGGCCTCTGCGTGATTTGGAATTCTCTAGTAGCCATGTTCAAAAAGAAACAGATGGAGTTCATTTTAACCATCTTACGGAACCCAGTGTACCTACCCAAAGAACGTTCATTTTATCTCGTAATCAGTGTAAGAATTCATTAGTGAGATCTTCTACATTCATATTCATTCTCTCTACATTCATATTCATTCTCTCTCTCTCTCTCTCTCTCTCTCTCTCTCTCTCTCTCTCTCTCTCTCTCTCTCTCTCTCTCTCTGTCCCTCGATCTCTCTGTTACTAAGTCTTCGGAGATTAGGTGTGTCTACTCACAGCACATCTCAAGAGCCTCTTGATGGCCCGTGCCTGCCCAGCAGTGCGGGCCTAAAGCAGCTGAAAACCTCAGAAAGCACCAGAGACGCTTGGCCAACAACGACCGTTTGAAACGTATTATTAGAACCAGGAGTGCTTACTGAAGGCTCCCATTTTCTGAAGTTCTCCAACAGGCAAAACTAATGTAGCACATTAACCTTCCTAAGCTGTGCTCGAGATCCAGGGAGGGGGAGGGGGAGGGGGGACCCCGAAGGAACTTTCTGGAGTGATGACAACGGTCCCACGGGGGTTGGCTCGGTCAGCCCCCGATCTGCACATTTCACCAGGGACAGGGTACGACATGGGAATATCAGCCATCAAACCTGCGAAAAGCGCTGCAGAAAGAACGCTATCTGGTCTCAGCGGCCGCTCCGGCCCGGGGCGCCCGGAGGAGCTGATGGGGGGGGGGGGGGGGGGGGGGAGGCGGTTGTAGAGCGAGCGAGCGAGCGCGCCAGGCGCGGGGCCAGAGAGGCCCTTTCCCTCCGCGCTGGGCTCCACTTCCGCCAACGCCATCGCGGGGCTCCCGGGGCTCCCAGGGCTCTCGGGGTTCCCCAGGCCAGGGAGAGCCGGGCCGGGGAGACACGCACCCCGGGGACGCGACACCACCCACCCCGATCGCGGGCTCCGACGGCGCAGGCCCCCGCGGCGGCCGAGCCCCGCACCCCTCGGGGCTGCGTGCGCGGGGCGCGGGGTGCGGGGATGGGCCGGGCGACAGCGCCATCGGGGAGGGGACAAAGGCTCCCGGCCCCGCGCGTGCTCGCGGGCTCGGGGCCGCGGGGGGGAAGGCCCCGGGGACGTGAGGCGGCGCGGGCCCGGAGGCGGGGGGGGGGGGGGCGGCGGCCGGCCGGCCCGGGGTTACCTGCGCGGCGGTGGCGGTGGCAGCGCCGGAGGGTGATGGGGAGGAGGGGGAGGACAGCGGGCTCCCGCGCTCACCTGTGGGGCTGGGTCGGGGGCCGCCCTCGGGGTGTCCTTCCCTCCTCCGGTGCAGGCCTCGGGGTGCGCGCCGATCTCTGCGCCCACCTTCCCTCTCCCGCCGCCGGGCCCGCTGACTCACGCTGTGAGCTCGGGTTGGCTCCAGGTTTGAGCAATGCAAAGAAAGCGGCGCCGAAAAAGTGACTCCTCCGGCACAGGCGGCCTCCCGTCCCTCCGCCCCGGAGGCTCTTGGCCCCAGGCCTCGCTCTGCCCCAGGACTGCTCCTCCCCTCCGCGGCTCACTTAGCGGAGGCCCTCGGGGGGGCCCAGGTGAACGCTGGGGGCCTCCCGTGATGGGGGCCTCCCGCCCGGCTCTCAGCCCTGGAAGGAGCCTCACCTGGTCACAGGCAATCGTGGGTGCCCTGCTGCGCTCCAGGAACTGCAGAAGCGCTGGGGAGAGGACCAAAAGCGAACGGGGTTCCCTCTCATCATTGATGTTTCTCTCTCTCTCCCTCTCCCTTCCTCTCTGAAATCAAGAAAAAATAATAATAATAAACAATACCCGTGTAGAAAAATGGGGGGTGTTGGTGGGAGGCAATCAGGACTTCCTAAGTGAAGGGACTGTTTTTGGAAGATGGTTGGTCCTGAGAAGAACAGGGCAGGTTGTTAAGGTGAAGGGAAGAACATACCCAAACCACCGAAGGAGAGAGGATGTAACTATGGACAAGGAAGGGTATGGAGTGAAATGAAAGGGTTAGGAAAGGAGTGAGAATTTTGAATAACCAGTGTCAGTCACTGGAGTGCCAGGATAGGCAACACCTGGTGAAGTTTAGAAGCCATAATTATGTAATAATGCCCGGATATAATTTTATTTTTTTAAAATATATTTTTACTAGTGGTCCAGTGCACAAGTTCATGCACATTGAAAGGAAATTAATTAGGAGAAATATTTTAACATCGCTATTCCCTCTATAATAGAAGTGTCAACCAAATTCACAATCAACAATGGCAGATTGAAACACACACGTGCAATTGGCACCAGCGAGAGCTTTATATGTATTGCACATGTGTGAGTCAACTTACCCTTTTTTTTTTTTTAATATATCAATATTTTATCGATTTTTTTACAGAGAGGAGGAGAGAGGGATAGAGAGCTAGAAATGTTGATGAGAGAGAAACATCGACCAGCTGCCCCCTGCACACCCCACACCGGGGACGTGCCCGCAATCATTGTACATGCCCTTGACTGGAATCGAACCCGGGATCAACTTAGCCTTTTATAGATATAGAATAAACTTGTTTAATTAGACCTGCTTTTGATGTAGCTAAATTTTTACCAGCCCAGTGAAGCACCCCAACTTCTCTTTCAGGTAATTGTTAGCAACACAGCAGTAAATATCAACATGAAACAGATTATTATTGTAGATCACAAAGGGTAAAATATTTAACTGCAGCAGTGTTTGACTAGATTCTGCACAACGAGAAAACCTGAAGTCATTTTCAAGGTTCAGCATTTCTTACTTCTTTTCAGTTGGGTAAAATTTCTAAGCTTTCCAAATCTGTGTTTTCTGGCTAATGAAAATAGGATTCCACTGAGTTTCCTATCTACCTACACCAGGACTCCTGTAAGGATCAAATGAGATGAGGCACAGGAAAATGCTTCACAGACATTTGATTACAGTGTAAAATGTTTGCACCTGGCTATAAAGCAAGTTGTGTTTCTGGACGGAAGAAACTCCATCCTTGGACTAGTCGCTAGGGAGAGGAAGCTGGGCATTGCTATGTGACATCATTACCCAGTGCCCACAGCCACCGTTTCAGGGCTGAACTGGGCTGTGGACTATGTTTTACACCATGGGGTCTTGGCAGCGTTGGCTCCAATTTGGTGGGCTGTCACTCCAGGGCGGTGGCGCGGCCTGTATCCCACTTGGGGGAAGCTGAGTGTTGCTTTGTCAGCACCAGATCCACAGTGCCATTTCTCTATCAATGGCCATTGTGCATCACAGCAGCTCCTGCATTGAGCGTCTGCCTCCTGGTGGTCAGTGCACGTCATATTGACCAGACAGTTGAATATTTAGCATATTAGCCTTTTATATATATAGGTTGATTTCAGAGAGGAAGGGAAAGTATGAAAAAGAAACATCAATGGTGAGCCCTAGCCAGTTTGGCTCAGTGGATAAAGCGTCTGCCTGAAGACTGAAAGGTCCCAGTCTTCAGGGCATAAGTCTGGGATTGCAGGCTCCATCCCCAGTAGGGGGCATGCAGGAGGCAACCAATCAATGATTTTCTCTCATCTTTGATGTTTCTCTCTCTCCCTGTCTGAAATCAATAAAAATATTTTTTTTTTTTTTTTAAATATATTTTATTGATTTTTGTACAGAGGAAGGGAGAGAGATAGAGAGCTAGAAACATCAATGAGAGAGAGTCATCGATCAGCCGCCTCCCACACACCCCCCACAGGGGATATGCCCGCAACCACGGCACATGCCCCCGACCGGAATCGAACCCGGGGCCCTTCAGTCCCCAAGCCGACGCTCTATCCATTGAGCCAAACCGGTCCCGGCTCAATAAAAATATTTTTAAAAAATAAAATTTATTAAAATCAATAAAAATATTTAAAAAAAAAAAAAAAAAAAAAGGAAAACATCAATGATGTTGGCTGCCTCCTGCACACCCCACAACCTAGGCATGTGTCCTGACCAGGAATGGAACCGTGGCCTCCTGGTTCATAGGTCAATGCTCAACCACTGAGCCATGCCAGCTGGGACAGATATAATTTTATATAGGATAGCAACAGGTAGGTATGTAAATGTGGATGCTTATGACAAAACCAGAGTCTGAGTGGAGTAGAAAGACGAGAGTGAGGAAATTGAGAACAATGAAAGAATGTGATTACATTAATCCACCAGGGCTCTAGTTCACAGAGGAAAGAAATGGAGAGCAGCAGGAAGCTGATAGACTGGGAGAAAAAGACCAATGACAAGAACCCATTGAAATGAGGGAACTTGCCCTGGCTGGTTTTGCTCAGTGGACAGAGCATTGGCTTGCAGACTGAAGGGTTGTAGGATTGATCCCTAGGGTTGGGCGTGCAGGAGGCAGCCAATTGATGATTTTCTCTTATCATTGATGTTTCTATCTCTCTCTCCCTCTCCTTTCCTCTCTGAAATCAATAAAAATATATTTTTTTATTTTTTTAATTAAATTATTGTTGGGAGCCAGCAGAGTTGAGGCAAGCAACTCAGTCTTAAGGAAATAGAATTAAGTTCCTTCTAGCAGAAGTTATGAGGTGCCCTGAGGGCTTGGCCAGAAGATAAGATTAACCTGGGGCTTAGCATCTCCTGTCTTCCTGCCTCTGCCCCTTCCTGATCCTCCCCCCTAGATAGCCCAGCCTTGGAATATTGCACCTTGGAATGTTAACATCTTTGCAACTTCCCCTTCCTGATCCTCCCCCATGGACACTGCCAGGGACCCCTCTGCATGGGCGGCCCTGCCCCCCTTTGTCTCTGCTGTATAAATACAGCCATTTCACAGAATAAAATCGAGGCTTGATCAGAACCTTGTCTTGCCTCCATTCTTTCGAGTTCCTTGTTTGTTTCATTCTCTTAGGTGGTTCCTGCGTGCCCCCGTTGTTGTCCTGCGGGTCGGGACAAATTATTATCTGTGTACATATACCGTCCCCCCTCCCATACATGCCCTCCCTCCCCAGAGTTTTGTGTCCATTGGTTGTACTTATATGCATGTATACAAGTCCTTTGGTTGATCTCTTATCTTCCTTGGATCTCCCTACCCTCCCTGCTGTAATTTGACAGTCTGCTTGTTGCTTTACTGTCTCTGTATCTATCTTTTGGTTCATCAGTTTATAATGTTCTTTATTATCCATAAATGAGTGAGGTCATGTGGTGTTTCTCTTTCATTGACTGGTTTATTTCACTCAGCATGATGTTCTCCAATTCCATCCAGGTTGCTACAAATGATGAGAATTCCTTCTTTTTTATGGCAACATAGTATTCCATTGTGTAGATGTACCATGCTTTAAAAACATATTTTTAAAAAGAAAGAAGGAAAAGAGGGAACTGACAAATTGTCACCACAAAGTGGTATTGGTGTTGAAGTCATCAAAGAGGACGCACTTCAGAGGGAGTGTAGGGGAAGGTGGGGGTAAGGGGAAGAGATCAACCAAAGGACTTGTGTGCATGCATATGAGCCTAACCAGTGGTCAGGAACACAGGGGGGGGGGGGGCATACATGGGGAGGGGTGTGGGATGGGAATGGGGGGGATGAGGACAAATATGTGATACCTTAATAAAGAAATAAAAAATAATAATAAAATAAAACAAAAGGGAGTTTCTCCCCACTAAGAATGACAGAGCAGCGTTGTAGAAGAAGTAGTAAGGATCCAGGGTTACTGATGTCAATTTCTGGGGAAATGGGCAGAGGCTCCACTCAATAGGAACCAGAGGGGAGACCCAAGCCTCCTCAAAGGCAAAGAATAAATAAATAAATAAATAAATTTATTTTTTAATATATTTTATTGATTTTTTTCAGAGAGAAAGGGAGAGAGATAGAGAGCTAGAAACATCAATGAGAGAGAATCATTGATCAGCTGCCTCTTGCACACCCCCTACTGGGGATGTGCCTGCAACCAAGGTACATGTCTTTGACTGGAATCGAACCTGGGACCTTTCAGTCCACAGGCCGACGCTCTACCCACTGAGCCCAACCGGTTTCGGCTAAATAAATAAAAATTTTAAAGGAGGAAGCACCATGTAAAAAAGGCCGGAGACACAGAAGAGATTGCTATGAAACAAGTCTTCCAGAATCCAGAGGACCCTGTAGAAAGGCTGCTGGTGAAATGGGTTGAAATGACGGTAATAGTTAACACCTGCCATGTATGCATGGTTTCCTTCCACAACTCAGTACTTCCTTTCCTTTTTACAACCAGAACAGTAATTATGGTATCTTTTTTTTATAATAAAGGACCTGAAGCTTAAAGATGTGGAGTGCCCTGACTATACTGTACATTAGTTAATATAAATAACAAAACCAGGACACTGTGGGGAGGAAAAATAATTTTCCTCCTAGTCTTTTTTTTTTAATTTTTAAAAATATATTTTATTGATTTTTTACATAGAGGAAGGGAGAGAGATAGAGAGCTAGAAACGTCGATGAGAGAGAAACATTGACCAGCTGCCTCCTGCACACCCCCTACCGGGGATGTGCCCGCAACCAACGTACATACCCCTGACCGAATCGA